TTTGATTCGTGTGTGATAGGGGGACACCATAGTCTGAAAGTAGGATATGACACCTTTGGCCATGTGATCCTACCATTAAAGGTGAACTCGGGTCATTGTGAATGTGCATTTGGCTTAAGAGCCTATGGTTTTAGCCAGGGTGATATGAAGGCTTGGATGGTAGAATGATCATGCTAGTGGTAAATAACTTGTGTTTATGGAAAGGATTTGTTGAAAATGCTAAAGTGGAAATATACATTTACTATGAAAAATGTTGTGTTGTAATATGTTAAAAGTGTATTTTGGTGTTTAATAGCTTTACTTTACTCTCATATGGTTGTGCATGTTAATTAATAGTAGTAAGTTATTTTATTACTGAGATGTCTATCTCACCCTATGATTATATTTTATAAGTGACGACTCCACTAAGGGTAAAGGGAAGGAAGGGGTAACTAAAGAGTGAAGAGTATTGTTGTATAGCTCTTCTCTTTCCTCTTTTTTGGGTTTGTAATGAATATACTATATTATAATGCCAACTTAAGAGCATTTCTTGATTTTGTTATCACTTGTATGAAAATATGTGAAATAGTTGCATATCTTGGCCCAAAATTGATGCTATTGTGATTAAATGAGTGTGTTTGGCCAAGATACAATTACAAGTGACATAATTGTAATGATTATGTGTTAAAATGACCAAAATAATATTTATATTGATTTTTACCCACCCCTTTGTGTAGTTGCGAGTTAGGGTTTTGGTAATCATTTTGAGTGTGATTAGTTATTTATGTAATATGATTGGCCATGTGTGTTATGTGTGGTCCATTTGAGATGGTCAAAGTGATTTCAGAGCTAATGGCATTTGTGGTATGAGTTGAACACCTTTAAATGTGTTTTGAGGTAAAAACGAACCACTTTGGATTTAGATGTCCATCTTTTTAATGGATTATTATTTTAGTGTGAGATCGATGCTGTTAGCTAGAGGGCTCGAAGAGTTTTGTGTGGACACTTTGAACCGTTCAAATCGAATGTCGGATAGTAAAATGGTGCATTCTGAAAGTTTGGAGTGCTATCATGACAGCAATTTACTGTCATGACAGTAGGTGTGCACCGCGGTGCAAATGTTTGCTAAGGGACTCAACCCTATGTGCCATCTGCCGTGGCGGGTATGGCTTGTGCTGCAGTGAACTGGCTAGAATCTAGAAAATTTTCAAATTGTATTAGCTTATTTTTAAGTGCTGTTTGATTTTCATGTTCCCATTATCATATTTGATTGATTTTAAACTTTGATTTGAGCTCAAACAACTTTTAAAAAAAAGTTTTCTTAGAATCCCAATATTTTAAAATAATTACCTTTAACCTTTAGGTTGTGATAACTTTTACTTTGGATTTTAATTAATTTTGGTTACCACAACGGCGTGTAAGTATGTTGTCCTGATAATGTCAAGACAGACATTACATAACTAGTTGAGCTTATCATTTTTTATATTTTTAATTTATAAAATTATGTCAACTCACTTATAAATTTAAATTAGATGCAAACATTGTTAGGTTGACTTTCTAAGTTTATTGTTTTTACATTTCTATCTTACAAAATCATGTCATCTCGCTTGTAAATTTAGACTAAATATAAACTTGGTTAAACTTATGATAATTCTTTTTTCATTTAATTTTGAGAGGTGCATTTGGGTCTTCATATATTTTAAGTACACATATTACATAAGATTATATTAAGATATAATTGTATTTCAAATCCAAATCCAATTTTGATTTCAACTCTATTAAAAACTCTTCAGATACCAAATAGTTAGTAATCCCTCAATTTTTTTAGTATAGAAGAAACTACCATATATTTCATTATTTTATTTCATAAACAAAACTACAAAATTCAAGCATTTATCTTATTTTTTCAAATTTCCCCTGTTAAAATAAAAGACCGAACTTGTTTCATTAATTACAAGTATAATGATTGGGCAAAAAAATTAGGAAAACTTACATACAGATATTGCAACTTGCTTTATTTCAATTATCACTAAATCTTATGGTAATTTTTTATGTGAAACTTCATTATAATTCTCCCAAAAAATTTTAAGTATAATTTAGTTTAAAATTTAAATTTTAAACATAATTATTATATTTAACTATTTTTTCAAACTACGTGAATTAATTAAAATTTTTCGTATATTTTATATGGAGGGATAATTTATTAGCATTGGATATTCTCCTCCTACTAAATCCAATCAATCAATTGAAAATCTGACATTAAATACTACTATTCATAACGAGTTAATAAAGACACGATTTATCAATTAAAAAGAAATAATTTTGCATAAAAAAAAGAAATAATTTCTTAAACAATTTCCGAGTCAATTTTATTAACAAATATAAAATTTATAACTAATTGTGATAGTCATAAATTATAAACAATATATTTTGTGCACTTTATAACAATACAAGTAACCTATATAATTAATTTGGTTGAAGTTGAAAATTTTAGAAATGGAGATGAAGTCTGTGTTTTTCAATTGTCAAAATTTCATTTGTTGAAAGTTTGATTAATAAAAATTAATTTGATAATAATTAATTATTGTAATGAAATTTATGTTTAGATATTTTTTTTCAAAAAGGTAAACTAAAAGTTGCTAAAATGATATATATAAAATGCATTTTTAAATATATAATTAATTATTAAAAAGGATTTACATTTTTTGATATGTAATTTTTGTCAGGTAAAACTTGATTTGTTAAAAAATGTGTAAATAATATAAAATTTGATATGGTAAAGAATATATATAATAAAAGAATGTTTAAATAATACAAAATTTAAATTTAAATTGAGTTAATGAGCATTCTAATCCTTAAAGTATTGTACAAATAATATTATGAACCCTGCACTACCGAAATGTATAAAAGAATTCCTTCAACTTTTAAATTCCGATCTTCTAAAAACCTTGCCATTAAATTGGAAAAAACAATTGTTACTTTATAGTTGTGGGGTTTAGTCATACTCTGATGTGGCACTCATCTTAACTTTTAAAATAAATGTTGTTTTGTTCAATTTAATGGTAGGGTTTAGGTTCTCAAAATTTAGAAGTTGATGAGAGTTTTTTTTCATTTCAAGAATTTAGAATCTAGAATGCTATTTGTGCAATAGTTTAGGATTTAGGGTGCTCATCAACCCATTTAAATTATAACAAGATCAAATTTATAATATATCAATTATTGAAGACCTCTATAATCTTATCATTAAAAAAATAGAAATAAAAATACTATATTAGATAGCTTTCAAAATGGACTTCTTCGAATGAGCTTTTGAAGACTTTAGGCCTTAGTAATTGAATGAATTATCTCTTGAACTTTGGGTCCAATATTATCATAAATCTTAAATTTGTTTATTATGTAAATTATTCTCTTAATTTTTAAAAAGGATACAATTTAGCCATGCTGTTAATAAAAGTTAACTTTGATAATTAATTGATCAAAAAATGACAAAAAAATAAAAAATTACATAAAAAGATAAAAAAATTACAAATAAGACATAAAAATTAGAGAAAGGGCAAAAAAATTGGTTCTTTTTTTTTTTTTGCCAACTAACAAATAAAGTTAACTTTTATTAATAGCAGAAACCATATTGTACCATTTTTAAAAATAAAGAGAACAATTTACACAATAAATGAGTTTAAAGTTTTTGATACTATTAGACATTAAGTTCAGAAATTAATTTACTCATTTACCCTTAATTTTATAATAAATTCTTTTTATTAATATTATCATCACTTTAAAATTTATTTTAATTTAATAGAATAAAATTATATTATATTATATTAAGTATAACATTAAGTATATATTATTTTAATTTTCGATTAGTAGTACTAATAGAAAATTATATTGATTATATAATGTTAAGTATATTTACAAGAAATTGGTAAGAATGACCAAGAGGCAAACTTATTTAGGAAAAAGGTTAAAAGTCCTCCAAGTGAATTAAGATTACAACTTTAATTTGCTTAATCTTAATTTACTTCAAGAACTCCTTTTTTCCAAATACCTTTACCTCATAGTTCTCCTCACTAATTCTTCGTGCCTTGGTTTGAAGGGAAAAGCAGAAAGAAAATAGGGATGAGAAAAAATTAGAAGAATTTTTTTTTCTAAAATAATAATTTTTTCACTATTTTTGAGACTTTTTCTCTATAGTTTTTTCCTCTTTATTTTTCTCTCCATCCATCCAAACAAAGGTAGATCTCATCCTTAGTTTAATAACTTAACCTATTGAGCATATCTAGTTAGGGCATGAACAATGTATTGCTTGTTGTATTGGGGTCGGATTGGTAAAGTATATTACCTCCGTTTAAAAATATAAGGTATTTTTTGAGAGGTTAAATGTTAAAAAAATGTAAGGCGTTTTTAATATTTTAAAGTGTAATCATTACTTTTTTTTCCTCTAAAAGTGCATTTATTGAATAAATCACTTTATATTAATTGTGAGATGCAACATTCTATTATATAAGAGTAAATATAAAAAGATAGAGTTATTTTAAAAATAAATAACTATTTTATTACGGATGAAATTTGGTAAAAAATATTTTATAAATTTGAATGGAGGGAGTATACTATATGCATATTTTTTTAAATGTTTTTATTTTTTTTAAAAATATGAACTTATTTTGTAAGATTATTTTTCTTGTTATATTTCATGTAATTAATTGCATTGCTAATGCTTTTTAAATTTCAACCTTTTAATTTTATTTGAAATTTTAAATTAATTTCTTAACTTAATGTCATATAAAAATATAGTAGGATTGTTGAATGTTTATAATTTTTTAAAAATATTACTTTTGATCCTAACATGTTTTTTCCCCCCAAATGAACATATTTTAATTGCAAGCAGTCATTTATTTTTAACATACAAGGCTAATTTTTTTAAAATATTTTTAGTTTATTAAATATATTTTTAAATAAATTTTGGTACAAAGCCACACGCCCACGCCTGACAACACTCTGTTTGCCGGGCTCAGTTCTCAGCAGGCCGTGGTCTGCTCAACCCTCAAGCGGGAGTCACCAGGGATTCAATCAAAAGCCTAAAATGCGTTGTGTTCTTGAAGTGGAATCCTTGTCTGAGTCGTCGTCTTCGTTTGTTGTCCAGCTCATCATTGATTGCGATTATCACCACAGAATCGCTGAACCAAGGGGACTCAAAATCGCATCTCACCATTATTACGCTTTTTCTATCTCCCCAAAATACCCCTGAAATATTCTCTTATTCTCACTCTTGTCTTAACTCTTACGTCTTTATAAAAGCCAAATGCCACTATCGTCACTGAGATTGCGCCTAATTGTCATAATACTGTCATTGTTCGGCGGACATTTTCAAAAGGTCTCGAAGTAACCCATTGAAGCGCGCCTTCAGAAAGAGCCTTTTTGTGTATTTCGAAAAACTTTTTTTATTACTCAATTTTTTTTTCTTAATTCTATTTCTCTTATTCTTCCACCACCACCTCCTCCTTGTTTATGGTCTATTCCGATCGTAAACGCCGTCGTCAATGTCGAATCTCTCTCTCTCTCTCTCTCTCTCTGTGAGTGACTGAGTCAAATCGATCACTGAGGAGACTGAAGTCAGAGATCCGGCATGTTGGACGGACTACTTCGCCGCGGGTTCGCCGCTAAATGGTTGCCTCTAAGATCTTTTTTCTCTTAATTTATTTTCCTTCGCTGTCATAGTTCTTTGTTGAGTTCAGTTTCTTATGAAGTTGGCGCGAAAGAATTTGAGAATGTGGTTATGAATGCTCCCGGTTTTGCTTTTTTACTTTTCTGGCAGCAAATCGTTGATCAAGTTGATCAAGAATCGGATCGATGTGATAAGGCGGAAGCGGAAGGCGACGGAGAAGTTTTTTAAGCAAGACATTGCTGATCTGCTGGCGAATGGTCTCGATATTAATGCCTACGGAAGGGTATGCATATTTCATATGAATATATATATATGTACGCCCGCGCGCGCGTATTTTCTTTATTAGTTTTGTTTCTAGATTCCATGTGTTTGATTTGTTTCTTCTATGGACATGATCTTGGGTTGAATGCTCTTGGTTTAGATCTGTCATATGTTTTAATTTGTGTGGTTTTACTGTGGAGGAGCTTTCATATTCGGTCCTACCGGACTAGCAGTAATTAAATTTGTCAAATGCTCTCTGGTAATCGTCATTTGTGGTTGTTATGCATTCCTTGCCTATATGAAAATTGAAACTGATGAAGAGGAAATTTACAAAGGAACATGAGTTGGGAGTTCAACTATTTGCTTTTCGATTTATGTGGACTAGCCGATAAAGTATCCGAAAAATCGTATATTCTGTTCTTATTTTATTGAATCCTTAATATACTGCTGATGAAGCTTTATCCTTCTTGTGAGGTGGGGAAACAGGCTGATGGACTTGTTGTTGAGCGGACAATGTCGTCTTGTTATGATTTCATTGAGCAATCTTGTGACTTTGTAATGAAGCGCCTTCCGGTGATGCAGAGCCTGAGGTATGGTTATTTTCTCTTATTAGTTTTTTCCTCTTTCGATTTTTTTTTGGTTTTTTCTTTATTTAATTTAAATTGTGGCTGATCAAGTGAATCCGCTGGACTTCTTGTATATAGTATTGTTGCTCATGCTGCGACATAATTACATAACCCATGGATCGTTGGCAGGACTAAAGAATAGGCAAAATCGAACTCCACATCTACGTAGGCACAAATGTATAGAAGAATATTGTTTTGCATTCAATAACCGGGCCCACTCATCTGTCTTTGGTGTGATATTCTGAAACAAATTAATTTTCAAGTGCCAATGCTATTATTTGTTTACCCTGCTTCCGGGTCTCTTCTACTCCTATAATGTGTTTCTTACTAAATTTTCAGAGTACAACGTATGGCACTTCGTCATGTTGGACCAAACTACGTTAACGGTCTCTAATACTGCAACATAAATAAATACACGAGTGCATGGTCAAATTTTATTAGTTTCTAGGTGAACTTGCTGTTGGGGTGTGGTCTTTCTATGCTAGGTGGCTTCATATTCTTTAATTGAAAACTTGAAATGATTATGCAATGTGATAAGTACCAATTATCGCATTGCATAGAAATAATGATCAGATTCAGGTATCACTTAAAGTTTTGATGTCAAAAGTAGGCCTCTTACTGATTAGTTATTTGAATTGGAATCTCAACGCTCAAATTTACATGATTGAACTGCTATCTATATTGTCTAGATTAATGCTTGAAGATTTGCATGTGGGAATGGGAGAGGTAAAAGCACGACCAATGAAACTTGCATGATAAAAAAGTATTCATGAAGCCTAGGTAGTAAAAATTTTAGTACTATGATAAAAAGAAAAAAAAATCAATATCGACCAACATAGAATATATATATAATTATATATATATATATATATAGCAATCCACACCATTTATCTGTCATGAACAGTGTGGCTAATTTTTCAAATTCCAAGCAACATATAGTTTTTTCATAATTATTGTAAGCTGATTGCCTTTTATTAGACTAAATTCTTAATATTTTCCTTGTTATTCTTTTGATGGGTTGGGAAAGTAGCTATCCTACTTTGGAACTGTTTCTGCGGTGTGGGTTGTTTGGGCATTAGTAGTGTAGTAGGTATTCCAATTGCCTGGGTTGGCCAACCATTTCAAACTTTTACTCGTGACTCCAGCTGGAATATTTTACACCCTTCAACTGTTTTCATTTCATTTACAGTGGATGCCCTGAGGAATGCAGAGAGGCTGTATCATCTCTAATGCTTGCTGCTGCAAGATTTTCTGATCTTCCAGAACTACGCGGGCTTCGGCAAATATTTCAGGAGAGATATGGGAATTCCCTGGATTGCTATGTCAACCAAGAGGTCACTGTTCATGCTTTCATTTTTACCTGAACATAGTTAACTTCTTCCTGGACCTGAACGGATGAATGATTATTGCTTATTACCAGTTTGCTGCAAACTTGAATGTGAGGCCTTCTACATTGGAAAAGAAGGTTAACTTGATGCAGGAGATTGCATCAGAGTTTTCAATAAATTGGGACTTCAAGGCTTTTGAGGAGAAGATGTCCAAACCCTCTGCATTTGCACAGGTGTGATATTCTGACAATTTTTTACCTCCAGAAATTTCCCCCTCCTTATTTTGTAACTTCTGCACGTTGTTTCTTGGTTCCTAAAAGGCAAATCCTATTTGAAAATCTAGCTGAAGCTGGAACCACTTCTTATTTACGACTAATGCAGGACCACAAAATTTACAAAACTAACCATTTGACCCATAATAATAAATCATCACATGGCAATGATGGTGCCCTGAAAGGAGACAAACATGTTTTGTTGGAGCAAAGGCCAGCCCATCCTATCAATAAAGCTATTGTCTCAAAAAGAGTCTATGACGATGCTCAGTCTAGATCCAGGCCTCCTAAATATCGATTAAATCAGCATAATGGTTGTGATGACATTCTAAAAAGTGATATCCATGACCATGAAAAACGAGAGCTTAATGCTAAGAGGGACAGACGACACCGGAATGAGGATAGTATGCCAAAACCGATTGTAAAAGGTGGTTTATCCCAGGATCAAGGGGTGGAACAATTTGAAGATGGTTGTAATTGGGGAAGCAGAACTCTTCATAGGGAGGAAACACTTAGGGAGGAAACACCGATGGCCAACCCCTATTACAATACTCACATTCCGCCTCCTTATGTTAAATCCAGTTCTAAACAGAAGACTAGCAAATCTGGAGCCAATGTTGATTTTTCACAAGAAGACCAAGGTAACATCTCTGCATACCCTTCACCACATGGTGAGCCTGATGTGGCCAGTGCATCAGAGAGGATTCATTTAAGTTCAGAAAAGGGATTGGCTACTGAAGTTCCCGCGCCTAAATCTAAATCATCTAGGCGCAAGCACTCAAAATCACGCCCTAGTCACTATGATGCCAATTCTAGTCAGTATGATGCCAGTGCAGAACATAGTAGAATTGTGACGAGAAAATTGAGGAGCAGGAGACGAGATGACCCAAGACGTGGCCTGCAACTCTTGTTTGACGATGATCGTTATCGAAGTCATGAAGAGGAAAGGATAATGGATAAGTTACTGCTATATTACAGTAAAAAACCTTCCATCTTGCCTGAAAAATGGATAAGAAAGAATAGAAGCCGCCATGCACGCCAAATGGATAACTCAGCACGAGAATTTTCAAGGAATGATGAGTCACCAGAGATGAATGCTGCTCTACCACGATCGGTTTCTCTTCCCCGCGAGGAAACAGAAGTAATGAAAGGAAACAAAGAATTCACTCGAGGTGCTTCATTTCAACCGGATAGACCAACCGTAGCTCGGCATGTGCATCCCAAGTTACCTGACTACGATGATTTGGCTGCTCGGTTTGCAGCGTTGAAAGGAAGATGAAAGAAAGAACAAAGGGTCAAAGAAGCTTCAATGCCCGTGTAGATAAGGCGTTTTAATTATTCAGCCTTTATCTCATATTCTGGTGTGTCGTTTTTTTTTTTTAATTTTTTTTTTGGCGGGTGGGGGGCTTCAATTTCAATGGTAAACTGTTGACTACTATGTAGGCTGCGGCTCTATGGAGTTGTTCGGTTTTAATGCAACTTCAAGTTATATGTCATCCGATCCCTGTTCAAATTTTCTTTTCTTTCTTTTTCCTTTTATGATTGTACAAGTATTTGTAACCAAAACTGGCGTGCCCATGTTCACAGCTTGAGGATAAAAGTTCAGAGTAAAATATTTAATTTATTACTGTCAATAGCAATGCTACGTTGAAACTGTTTAACAGTTTACAGTGACATACCGTTGTTGCAGCCTTGCAGGGGAATAAATTTAAAGGTGAATGCTTTTACTTATATAAGGTGATTATGGTAAGCTAATATTAAGCGAGATTACAGGTATGACCTTGAGGGACTGAACTCCTAGCTTGCTAGTTCAGAAATCATAACAAAAGCCTCTGCATTCCCAAGGACAGTAGGACCATTACTCTTTTCAAGATTCGCAACTATGTCTCTCTATCTCCTCTGTCTTCAGTTTAATGGCTATCTTCCCGCCAAAAAGGGCTTCTCATTCTCCCCTATATTACTGAAGCTTTTTACTTCTTTTACCGCCATAAATAAATTTCTTCTCATTGCTTCACAGGAACGAGACAACAGACAGAGAAGATGAAGGGCACGTCCAAAGTGATAATGGGTGCCACTTTGATCATGGTGGTGACCCTTGCTGTTGTTCTGGGCCTCATCCTTGTTCTACTAACGGAGCTCTACTGCTCTCTCTTGCTCCGCCGCCGCCGCCTACTCAGAGCCTCCACCTCCACCTCCGCTGCCGCCGCTGCTACAAACAGAACCAATGCTTCACCTTCTTCACCCACCTCAAATCCCCATCAACATTCTCTTCATCGTCCTCCTCCCCCCTTCACTAGCATTTATGCTCAAGGAGTCCTTCAAGCTCCAAGAAACTTGCTTTTCCCTGTGGTTTCTTCCAAAGGAGAGTTAGTTGAAGCAAAGAAGCAGCTTGCTGAGCTTCGTCATCATGCTATTCAAATTCAAACGCAACATTTCATTACAAGCCCTCGTCATCTTGGACTTGTCTCTGCTTCTTCTCCATCAAAGCCAGTTCAACAAGTGCATGACTCAGTTCAAGGGAGTGATGATACCAGGGGGACCTTTTGCGGAGAACACCTCGTGTACATTTCTAATCCCATTTACGAGAATGACGAGGAATGCAAGGGAAGTAGTGGATCAGATACTCCATTTGAAACACCACCTACTTCACCTTCTCGCTTGGAACCAATTGGTTCTTCTGGTGAAGACGAGGCAGCTCAGCCTTCACCTTCACACACTCCTCCTCTTTCTCCGATGAAGAAGCTCCTTGCAGAGGCTTCCTCCGTTTCTCTCAAACATGCAGCGTCGTTGGGTAATTTAGGGAGTGATTCTCACTGTAACAATGGTCTCTCATCTACATTATCTGCCACCCCCTGTACGTCCCTTCATGATGATTCAATTCAGTGGTGAAGCTAAACCATCAAAGGCTTCCTTTGTTTATTTTTTCCTTGTTATGTGGATCCTTTTGTGAAGAGCGAGATTGTGTCACAAGTCAAGCTTTTCTTTTCCCTCCAAAACACCCGGCTGATTATTTCTTGTTTTTTTTTCTTTTTTTTTTTTGGGTCCTATAATGAGAAATGAGAAAGTTATTGCACAAAGAAGGCAGAGATGTTGCAAGATTTGTGGTGGCAGCAATACACAGGGGACTGGTTATCTGGGAGGAACAAAAGTGGCAGAGGAGCAGCCTTACACTAAAGAAAGATGACAATTTAAATTGTCTTTTGCAGGCATGGCCATGGCTCGTCTACCCAAGTTTTGACATCATTGTTCATTCTTTTTCCGGGACGAAAAAAAGAAAAGAATGGAAAGTAAAGCAAAAGCTTTGACTCCCACCACTTAGACATTTCACATTTTAAAAATAGAAATGCATACTGGATATTGCATTCTAAATTCTTGTTTCCAGGCTGTGGATATAACAAGCAATGTTTCCACCACACCCACTTGTTGCTGCTTCTGTTATTGGGATTGAGAGTGCACGTGACTTTTGGAGGATGGGCAGAGAAGAAAAAGAATACTATAGATTTTGTTTCTTGTGATATTTCATTGATCAAATTAGTAATGATCTCTGTTTTTGAGGGACCTGGACTTCTGATTCCAATGCTCTGTGTAGTCTCTGTATCGAAGCTCTTTAAAAAACGAACAAAAACTGTGTATTCTGCTCTTCGATGTGGACGATTCCAGCTGTCTGCTTCAACCCCATTAGGCAAGAAGCTTCATTTCTCGCATTAAATCTGCCTGTTATGTTCAGTCATTATTATGTCCCGTACTGTTCTGTTTATGGCTAAAGAATCTTATTTTCATGAAATATAAATAAAACGAAAAGAAGAGAACAAATCAATGTTCTTTTAATTTAACAGAAAAGTAACTAAACCTCTTTATAAAAGCACACAAAGTAGAATTAATTTTGATATAATAAGAGAAGAAATACCCTCCACAAACACTTTTCAGCTTTGCACAATGATATCTTTGTACACAAAACAAATGTTGATGGTTCATACCAAAAAACAAATGTTGATGGTATGTGTGTGATGTGGCAGAGAGTCATCACTGTAATTTTCCTTCTATGAGATGTGCAGGTGGTCTCCAAGTAAAGTAACATAAATTTAGAGGTTCTATTGTGGAGTGTATAATAGACATATGATAATTGAGCAACACTTGAAAGAGGGGGAAAAAAGCAAAAGAAGATAAGAAGTGATCAAGCACAGCAAAAGAATCGTCTCCTATTTTGTTGTTGAGGTCTGCTATGCAGCTTGATCCCAGTTTGACGTGAAGGGTTAGCTTTTGCCAATCTCTTTGCTGCACAATGTCACACACTCAAGTTTTCAACTATCCTCATGAAGGTTATGTACCAAACATCAATCAATAGCAATCAGCAATCCATATGAAATATATAATATAGGTAGAAAAGTGTTTTCAAAAAACAAAAATGAATAATATAAATTACATTTTTCGTTCGTTTGTTTTCTTGAAAAATACTATTTGTAATATTACAACTCATTTCTATAAACTATGTACGATCCATAGGACCCTATTCAAGGGGGGACACAGTCACAGAGAAGAGAGGATTAGAGTAAATTATATGGATTTTTCTTGAATTTCATTGAAAAAATAGAAATTTAGAAAAATAATACAAACTTTTTATAACTTTGTCAAAATTAAATTTATTTTTCAAAATCCACCCATTCCTTAAATTTTGTTGTGACACTAGGGGGAAAAAAACAAAAAGGTGGTACATTTTGGGGCAAACCAAGTTAGAAGAAGAGTAGCTAATGAGTTAGTTTGTTACCTATTTCATAGAAGAGCTCGTTGACATTCTGAGCAGTTTTGGCTGAAGTTTCCATGAAAGTCATGCCATTTTCTTTGGCATATTGCTCACCATCCTGAAAAACATTGGGACAACGAAGTTTGATCATTATTTTCCTGTAAATCATAGAGCAAATTGGTAATAAAACATTTTCTTTCTTCAATTGAACTTGAACTGAATCGAGTCTGATTATTCAGTAACACCAAATACTAAGTAATATGTCACAAATAGAACAAAATCGTATTGTTGCTATATATAAAACAGGGGTACCTCATTTAACACTTCTCTCTTGTCTTCCAAATCTGCCTTGTTAGCCACCAAAAAAATTATCATACTTTGATTTCCTGAAATTTGATTTACAACATCCGTAAGTTGTCACATTAAATCATTCTCTTATTCGAGTTTGTGTGTGTGTGTGTGTGTGTGGCTATCACCCAAGTTACCTTGTCTTTGCACTTCGTGAACCCACTTCTTCGCACGTATGAATGAATCCTGAGACTCACAAAAATTAGTTATTTTTTTTGTCCTAATAAAAGGAAATACTTATAGTAATACACAGTTAATAAAAGTTAATATACACAGTTAGTAAAAGTTAATCTAGTTACCAAGGAGTGGGCCTAGCATGGGTTCAAATTTTGTTGATTCGTAATATGTAAATATACATGTAAGTAATCTTTGAGTCATAAAGCTTACCTTATTCTTAATGAGCCTCCAAAACTTAAGTCATTTAACTATTTTCTTGTCTAAAAGATAATCCCTTATAAAAAAAAAATCCAAAAACTAGAGCACACTAAGTTTTGTTATTGTCTCTAACTTCATTAACCTCCTGCAACCTAATGGAAACTAACGAAGAACAAAAGATGAATGTCAAGAGCCGACCAAACCAATTAATTGACATATTCAGATTTAATCTAATGAGTGGCTTAAGTTTACTCTCTGAATGAATATCTTATGTGACATAGTAATAACTAATTGTTTATTTGAACAGCTATAAAAAAATTTATCATAAAATATTCAAAAAATGCTAAATCTTAAATTTTTGGAGAAGATGATATATGTGAGGGATGTTCTGATAATGAGAGAGAATCTTTTGAGAGAAATATATTTTAACAATTTTTAAGTGCTAATGAATCTAATGACTCTATTTGGGACACTCACTCAATAAATAGACTTAGGTCACTCATTGAATTCAAATCTGACACATTCTTAAGATCTCTATATAAAAAATCAAAATTAGTATCCTAATTTATCGCAAGGAACTTCTTAATATCTATCCACAAGGTTGAAAATGGATCATCTAAATCTATCTAAAGTGATATGTTACTTAATTGAAAGTGACTTTAATCTTTAGACATTGTCCTAAAGATATCCAAATGAATAAAGCATTCTAAGATACTCAAGTGTGTTTGTGCTCTTCTTTAAGAACATGATAAAGTAGATACCAAGCTAACAAATGCTTTAACTACTGTTGAACAATTTTTTTTTTTTGGGGTCAAAGCTTATTAGTGGATTTAAAGTCTTAAACATATATTGTCCCCACTAATTTTAAAGCTTAATTTGGTATGAACAAGAAAAATGAAATTTTCATTCTCGTAAATTTTTGTAATTTTTTTATGTTCTTTTAATTATTATTCAAATTTTATTTATTTTAATCTTCTTTTAGCAAGATACTAGACTATTTTTTTTTAAAAAATATTTTACGTACTAAACAAAACATTAAGTGGTTACTCTGCCTTAAAAGCTAATAGATTTACAGCCAAGAAAAATACATTTTGGCACAAATAAATTGATTAATCCATACCTATTAGGGAAAAAATGAAAAATTACTAAGCATCAAAGAAGAAAAGGCAAAGCAAGAAGTAGAGTACGATACATGAATTTAAATCAGCTAAATTTGCAGTTTTCTCAATTTGTCTCTGTTTTGATATTCTAGTTGTTAGATCGATCTACTATATCTCACATCATGTTTATAGATATGTAATTCATTAAAATAAGAAAGAAAGAAATATTGCATCAATTTATTCAAGGAGGGGAAAAAAGAGTGAGAATTCGAATGTATCATCCAAGTAAAATAGGAAAGAAATAAATATTGCATCCCCATGATTTAAGAAGAAAGATACAAATTAATAATGCATATCACTCTAATGGCTAAAAATTAGCTAGATTGAGACAATTTGAGGAAATTGTAAAGTTGATCCTAATTCATGATAACACCCCACAGTTTCATATAAATTTTACACTTAAATATGAACAAGGACACTAATTAAATGTCAAAGGCCTAAGAGCAAACATGATGATTTATGAAAGGCCATTAAATTAAGAGACAGATGAACAAACCTAGTTCACAACTAAAGTTAGATAAACACAAAAGTCATTTTCATCTAATGGGTAAGTCTTATCATTATACTTATCTCTTTTCCACATGCATAAATTCTTTAGTCGACAAGTATCCTAATTGAGACTGATAAATGCTGATTCAGTTAACTAATTTAAAAGGACTCGATTTTTCTCATACAAAATTAAACAGTTGAACTTCATGGATTGAAAAAATATTACATTATAAGGGTTATCCTAATTGGAAATAGACAACACTCAAATTAGGGGAAAATAATGGTGAAAAATGTCTTTTTCTTCTAATCTTCTCTCCTAATTTTCTCTCTCCCTATTTTTCCCCCAGTGCAAACCAAGCCTTATAGCCGACAAGGATTCTAACCGTTAACAATTGATAAATGCTAATTGGGCTAAGTAATTAAAAAGAACTCAATTTTTCTCAAACAGCACTAAACATTTTGAACCTTGTAGATTGAAAAAAATTACGCTGGAAATACCAAATTAGTTTAATTAGACCCGACAACACTCAAATTTAATCCAAATACAAGATAACTATATATATATATATATATATATAAAAGATACCATGCTAGTAATGTCATAGACAACAATAGCAGCAGCAGCACCACGATAATACATAGGAGCCAAACTGTGATATCTTTCTTGGCCTGCTGTGTCCCATATATCAAACTTCACCGTGCTTTCATTCAATGACAACACTTGTGTGAAGAATGCTGCTCCTATTGTTGATTCCTGTCCCAGAAATTAAAACATACTCACACACTTCAATCTTCATGATTCAAACCTCTCTCTATATATTTGTGTGCCAAAGTCAATCGAATATATATGATCAATCAATTAATCACCTGGTACTCTGAAAATTGCCCCTTCACAAATCTCAGAACCAAACTTGTCTTCCCTGTGCCCATGTGTCCTAGTAGTACCTGCAAATTCGTTCATAAACCAATTTCACAACATGCCTAATAAATTTTCCCCTTCTTAATAATCTTGCTGATATGTGATTTTGTTCGTAGCAGAGACAAATCGGACAAATTTTCATCAGAAATTGGCTAAGTCCTGAGCCATCATACTGTACAAATCTGATTCCCTTTTAAATTAATTCCTAGTTATGTATAGAGTCTTGATCATGATCAACATGTGATGAGTGATAAGTCTGAAAACTCAAAGAAGAAGAAGAATCTGTTTTTTTTTTTTCCCCTAGGTGTTGTATGAAATGAAGAAAGGGAAGACGTACCCACCAGTTTGGCCTGTAAGCTCTTGTTTCTGGACCTCACCATTGCTGATCACAGAGAAATCTTGAGTCTATAGCAGAGAAAGGTATGAACGAAAGAGAAGAAAAATTAAGGGAATACGATCAGTGATGATGATGAAGGTAATGCCAGCGACGCAAGGACTGTTTCAAGGGAGCCACACAATGAGATGTGATTGAGATTTCAGAAGTTTGGATCGAAGAAGCAATAAGACTGAAATAATATTGAGAAGAGATGATAATTTTAAAAAGGGAGAGAAGAATGGTAGTTTTGGAAGTTGGACTGGTAAGTATGCTGTTTTCAACTCTTTTGAGCTGTACTCTTATGTCTTGTTCCTCTCAACTTTCATTCACAAGAAATATAAGAGATCCATTACACATGAAACTTCAATAATTATGGTCTTGATTGTCCTAAAATTCCAAAAAAAAAAAAAATCAACTGAAATTATGGGATTATTGTGTTCTTGGCCATTATGGGAAATATATTTGTTAGCATTTTTATTTAATTTTTCAGAATTAAAAATTAATATAATAAAGGAAAAAAACAAAATTTATTGTCATCAAACTTTCATCCAATCTATAATTTAGATCCTTTTATTTTAATGGGCATTATACTGTTCTTAATGTTTTAAATAATGATATATTTAAACCCTAAGATTAATATTCAGTATTAGTGCAGTTATGTGATAATATCAATTACTCTATGCAATGAATTTAGGTAAGCTTGTATAGCCAGCATAAGCCTAACGTGTAATTATTTTGAGTTTAAAGTCAATTAATAGGGTCTTAGGGTTAATAAGACGTTAATAAATGTTAATTAGGAAAGTGATTGGGCTTGATAATGCGTGTGGGGGCCAAAACTCACTTCAAAAGGATGCGAACATGTGGACGGCACATAAGTTCAAAAAACTGTGTTGTCCGTTGCTCAAGGAGAGTCATTTCTTGGTGTTGGGGCACCTTTTTCCTCAACCATTCTTTTTAAACTTAAGGTAAATGCTTTCTCTTATTTTCTCTCTTCCCTTGTGCAAAATCTTGAGGGTATTTGGAGTTACCATGAGGTTATTGGATAATATGAGAAGAGATTTGTGGCTTTTCATGATTGAGAAAATTGAGTTAGTTTATTTTGAGGCCTGTTTGGTAATCCTACATCCCACTTTTAGAAAAATTACCTTTCACTTTCAGGTAATGTTGTTTGGGTACACATTTTTTGTGAATTGAACTTTCTAAAAGAACATTCAAATGGGTTTGGAAGTGGATATGGGGAATGAATAAATTTAAAGCTTTTGAAAATGAAAGTAAGTTGGGTTGGGGCATCTAAAGGGAGAAATTGAATTTTGAAATATGTATGTTTCAAACACAAATTTCAAATACAGCAATTAACTTTTGTTAAATGAATTTTTAATAAAAATGACTTTTGGCCAACACAAACGAGCACGGAAGCTTCCTACAGTATCGTTGCATGGATAATTTTGGTTTTGGCTAGTATTGTCTTGGAATATAATGCAGAAGAAAGAGAAAATCCTAGGTGGAAAAGAGAGGGCTTTCAAATTTTATAGCAATTTTATGACTCCTTATGCTTTGGGTTGTTTTTTTCAAGTGTGTATTGGTTTTCAGTTTGTCAAAAGTAAATTTGATAAAAGTTTATTTAATAAAAGTCAATTTGATAAAAATCAGTTGTTATAACGAAATTTGTATTTAAATACATTTTTTTAAAAATTAATTTAGCAAACTAAAAGTTGTTTGGATTAATAAAAATTGTACTTTTGAAATGTACTTTATAATATGTAATGACCAAAAAGGACATTGATTTATGATAATTTATAATTTTTATTATACAAATATAATATATTAACAATGTTTAAAAAATGTGAAATAAATTTAAAATAAAATAAAATTTAAAATATTAAATAATAAGACAAAATATAAAATATAATTTAAAAAAAATTATGTAATAAATAGTTAAACATTCATTAATATTGAATAGTTACATGATTAACGTTTCGATTTATAATATACAATATGATTTCGAATAGAATCCCGAACCCTATTCATCTCTCTATCAAAAACTATGCTTGAAATTGCACTTGAAATTATTGATGAAAATGCATGCTTGTCATTATCATTATTAGTATTAACCATATTTTTTTCCTCAAAATGCCTAAAGTCAGAATCAGTTGTTGATTTTCTTCTAATAACATTATATATAGCCATTGTTGCACCAGCTATATGAACTAGCGTCACAAATGGATAGCTAGGCATGTGTCGTAAGATTGCAAATCTATTTTTCCAAAGCTCGAAAGTCTTTTCAATTGTGGTCCTTAAGCTTGAATGATAATAATTAAAAATCTCATTATTGTTTGTAAATTCGGATGAGCACTTGAAATCTGGGAGGTGATACCTATAAGATCTATAAGGACCTAAATATCCACATGGAGTTGGATAGCTGGCATCTCACAAATAATATTTACCTACCAATAAAAAAAATAAAAATTATAAGATCCTAAAAAATATTAAAAAAAATTATTTTTAATTACATAAATATGAAATATACCTTGGGGTGGATGTGAAAATTTTATGTTCGGCTTGTGAGTGCATAGTCAAATAAATGAGCATCATGGCAGTCCCTTCCTAACTAGCCATGACATAAGTGAAGCACATATCTCAATCCCATGTGGCCATTATATTTTGTGTTGGAATACCTTTTCTTCTAATATATTTCCCTTGCTCTTCAACATTGACCATGCATGGGATATGTATTCTATCAATTGCTCTTATGGCATCGGCCAATATCGCGGATCACCTAAAATTTTTGGATGAATATCTTGAAAAGTGTGATCTTTTGGTTGGATATATTCCTTTGCTAGCTTCTCACAAGCATGCAATACATTTTTAAAATGTCTGTGAACAGTCTCTGCTGAATATTGAAATTGTTCTTGTGTCATTCTATTCCCCATCCCATGTCCAACAATATTTAGGAAACATACCGACTATTTTATGAATCCCTGTTCTTCTGGTTAGATGCAAATCATGTTGCACCAGTTTATCACAAAGTTCAAGAAAAACATCTTTTTCCATGCGAAACTTGTCATAACAATGCTGAGGATGCCCTTGCAAAATTTCTTACACCCATGCATGACTTGATTGTGAATTGGTTCTACAAGGCTCTTCCAATAAAGTTGTTGAGTAATTAGATACTATTACAGTAATAGTCTCAACCTCATCGTCTTTCACATGTACAAGTAATTGTAATAAGTGAGATTGCATACTTTCATCCATAAAAATGGCATAGCATAATTAAATAACCATTACACCATTATTCATGACTTGAAATTAAAAGCACATAAAACAAGAGTCAAATAACATTCAGATTCTCTCAAAAGCTCTCAAGTTTTGGATTAGCAATGCAAGTGGAAGAAACAGGTGAAACAGAGCAGAACTACCTTCAATGGAAAAAAAATAGAGCATAATCGGATTTGGAGAAAAAATTAGAGGACCACCGATCGAAGATACAGGCCATATATTTTCATACATTCATCCAAAATAGAGGACCACCATTTCTAGATCTAGTAAAGAATGGTTGGACGACATCATACCTTTAGATGGAAGAGCAGATTGGAGAGGAGGTCCGAGCGTTTGAGTTTAGTTTCGAGCGTCTAAGTTCAGTTCAACAAGTCCTAGGTGTTTTCACGTTAGTCAGCTTTGCAATGTCATCCAAGACCTAAAACAAGCTCGATCTGTGAGCTATAAATGAAAAAATGGCCATTGGAATAGCGGGGAAGGACGACAGAATAAGACCACAAGCTTGAGGAAGGAAGAATGGATGGAGTCGGATCTATGATTAGATGGCAGGGGAGAGATGGAGGAGAGAAGGACGAGAGTCATTAGAGATATGGAGGAGAGATGGTGGACTGATAATGGAGCAAGGCGAATGAGATGAGTGACACATAGAGAAGAAGGAACAAAGATGGGTTTTAAAACACACACATGAGCTCAAATAGGAGGAAAAGACAAATATGAGGGGAGGGGTGTCATGGTCATTTTAAAATAATAGATATTATTAATAATGTATCTTCCTTCAACTGACTTTCCAAAAGCTACTGATATGAATTTTTCAATTTTTTTTGTTTTAGCCCATTCGAAAAGCACATTTGGGAAGTCAGTTTTATATCATAAATGATCTCCAAACAACATTTAACTTCTTTAAAGTGAAAAGTAGCTTTTTGAATATAAACAGTGAAAAAACCAAATGCACCCTAATTAGATGAATTGAATAAGAGGTAGATTGGTGATGATGGCAATGGTGTGTCTTAGCTTATTGAAAGGGATTTTGTGAAGGTAAGTGTGTTGGATTTGTATATCTCAATTCATATAAACAAGTAAAGTAATGTATGCGTACCTAAAGAATCCATAAGTGCTTGAGAAGGGTCAATTACCTCAAGTATAGATAGGTGCACAACCCACTGGCCTCCAGAGTCTTTAGAGAGTTCAGAGATAATAGAGCAGAAGAAAATGAGTTGTGTGTTTGTGGTTATTAACTAATTGACTTATAAGAAGCAGATCAGTAACCGCTTCATTTAATAATTAAATAATTATATTCCATTATCTCTGACTCAGTCAATTAAGAGATAGGGAATAACTGATAGCTACTGGGTTATGGGTTGGGCCTCTGCCCATTAGGTTCACTTGTGTGGTCCACTTATCACGGTCCACACAAGATCTTAAAGACCAAAACTATTAGGCTTATTAATTAATGTTAATCCATAAATAAATATTCCAACAATCTCCCACTTGGATTGTATTAATTAAGCAAGTAGTATAAATAAGCCACAAACAAAATTTAGAAAATGAAGCTCCACAAAATCACTAGATCCTATGGGGAAACAAGTGATATAATGTCCTATAATTTGAATAAAATACAAATTTTGTATTTCAAACACAGCTAAGTGAGATGACAACATAAATCGTTGATTCCTATAGAGAAACAAGTGACATGCATAGTGTACCACAACAAAATCATTGAATCCTATGGGGATACAAATGATATAGACGCATCTAACTGAATTGAACATAACTTATAGAAGAAAACAAAGTCTAAAGAGAAATCACAACATAAAGGGTTCTCAAACTCTCACTAAAACCAGGGCATCAAAGGAATTCACAATACCCATACAAGTTACATGATTTTGAAAAACTTCTACAAGTAAGCCCTTGGTCAGCAGATCTGCAAGCATCTGCGTGCCAGGA